AATATAGTATATTAATTTTAAGGTAATAATAGCAACTATTAAAGTCACAGCTGATTTTTCCTGCATATAAAAAAATCGAAAATTAATTCGTATAAATATAAATAAAAATCTACAATTATTAACTACATTAATAAATATGTTTAAAAATTTTCAATAAAAAACAAAGAACTTTTTCATTTAAAAACAAATACAACATGAAATAGTTCAAAATATGCATTGAAGTCTTTCAACATGGGCAAACTTTTAATAGAAACTAAAAACTTGACTGTCGGCTACTCCTAAGAAAACACACACTTAATATAAATTACTCTAGAGTATTTTCTTTGCTCAACAAATAAGAATTAATGAAAATTTGTAGTGGCAATCGTGAGCTTAGAGGACCAACGGCTCACATACTTAAGCAATTCACACTTTAGACATTTCGATGACAAAGCTCACTTATATGGCAGCGGTTTAGTTTAAATACTGTTTCACACACACACACACACAGACAGGCAGACACGCTCCTCTACTCTTTCTATTCGCATTCGCATTGGCATGCTTGCCCAGCCACTTAAGCCGTGCAGCGCTTAATCTCGAACTGTTTATCGCATCGAGTATACGCCGTGTAGTGCAATTGTTAGCTGTTGTCGGCTCGTAAGTGTTTCACTATCTTTAAGTCTTGAGCTCTCGGCGAACCTCTTTGAGCTTGCCTCACAGCTGCGCGCGCTGTGAGCTGGAATTTAATTTTGTTATTGTATTCACGGTGCTAAGCGCAAATGGAAAAAGTTTTAATTTAATTATAGCTCCGTTTGTGGGCTAAGCATGGCATAATACACACACGCGAACACGCACACATATGTTCTGCTCTGCTCTGCTCTGTTCTGCTCGGTTCTGCTCGGAAAAACGCATAAGGTCAAAGGATTATGGCCATAATAAATGCTTGTAGAAACGTAAACAAGTGTGCAGCATGCATTGCTGTTTGCTCAACCCACATCACACACAATCAGCGCAACACTGCAAGCAACAGGGTACGAATATGTATAAATATATGTATAAATATACATATATATTGTTATAATATTTCACTTTTTCTGTAGGTCGTATATTCAAGTGCCTGCTGAGTTTAGCTAACTTTTTAATGCTGATTATCCGACTGGCCGGAACTCTCCGAGCATGGCTGTGTAAGCAATCGATGCAAATCTAGAGAAGAACATGCATAAAAATATATTCTTCAATATTTATGATATATTAAATAAACCCCACACACATATGCAGATTTAAGCCGCTTCATTTGTCAACGTGTATTTCGCCTCTTAGCTTGTCATTGATTTATCACAAGTGGCAATTCAATAACTTTTGCCAGCAAGCGTCAAGCTGCCAAAAAGCCGCAAATAACAACTGTCCAAGGGCGGGGCATAAGCAAAAATATATTACGGTCATAAACTGCAGGCCAAGTGGGGCAGCAACAGCAACAACAACTCTGTGGCAGTTGTTGCTGGCCTGACTGTCTGTCAGCCGTGTCAAGCATCGTTCACCCTCAACTATCCTGTTCAGGTGTCTGTGTTTTTGCAGCTGCTCAACAGCACAAGGGATAAGAGCAAGTTGAAAACATATGCCAATAGCTCAGTAGCTTATATCAATCCAATGCTTATGTATGCTCAGATGATTATTTAAGAATGCTTGCTAAGAGCTAAAGCATGTTGGTAATGCGCACTAAATGTTTAATCAATATATCAATTATTTCCAATTATTTAGGCTACTAGAATTTAATGGAGTTTAGTAATCCGAGTCACGATAATCTAACCAAGTCAAACAGAAGAAATTTTTAATTTATATAGGAAAATTCTGTGCTGCTAAATGAAAATACTTTTGCTCGTTTTCAGATGAAGTCAATCATAAAATATTTAACTTTCTATTTCAATTGATCTACAATAATGAAAAGTTATAATCCATTGAAGCATGCTTTAAGATAATCACAATAAACTTTAAGTAAGGTAAAGTTTTAATAAATTTATACATATTTTTATATATAAATATTTATAAATATACTTATATATTAAATATAAATAGTACAATCATTATTTATTGTACATCAATTTTTTTTAAATATACTTATAAATTAAATATAAATAGTGTAATTAACTCGCCATTTACTATATAAAGCTCAGTTCAGAGTAGCCAAGAGTAATACAACCATATGAATCGATGATGACATAGATAATTTCCAATTTTCCATGTCAATGTGTGAAAACATTTATTGAAACACATTCCAGCTCAACGCGACTGGCAGAAATGGGATGGAGCTCACACTTGAAACAAATCAGGTTGTCTCTTTAGATGGGCTATTTCACTGTCAAACACTCAAACTATTTGCATCCAGATTCCACAAGTTTTAATAGCCCACATTGGGCATGCAGTACCGAATCCTGAAATCTCGCTCGGAAACCAGTTTATATACATACATAATTATAAAGACATATATCAGTTTTTGTTTTTTTTTTTTATCAATAATAATATATAATATAATAATATTATATATTGTCTGCGAGTGTCAAAGAAAATGCGTTTAGTTCAATTGAAGCTAGAACATTTATGTATAAATTAAATTTTTCATGCATGCGATATACAAATAAATCAATATACATATATACAATAGTCACATGAATAGGTAAATTTAGAAAAATATAACAAACGGCATTTACAATTCCATATAAGCCCATTGGCAAGCATTGCGTAAGTTGAATTTCTTGGAAATAATAATAAGAGTAGGGGCAAAAATAATAGGCATCTGCTCATTTGCAGAATTTGTTTTTTCTGCTCCAACATAAGTATATACAAATTCGAGCGCTGAAATCGGATCTTGTGCCAGATAATTGCAAAGTTGATTGAATGCCAGCCAAAATAAGCAATAATTATTGATAGGCCCTGCGCTGTCAATTCCAGTAGATCAAAGGCAGCAGCAGCTTATGAACAGCTGCAGGCCATGCTGGGTACGATTCGATGGTAATTCAAAGGGACAATAGCAGCAGCAACACCATAAGCCGACCATCATTTGCACCTACATTCCATTATTCAGCATTATGCGAGAGGGCCGCCTCTTAGCCTCATTCGGAATACTGTGGCGCACATTGGTGTGGCGAGAGCGATTGCAGTTTGTGCAGTACTTGAGAGCGGCAAATGACCAAAGCATGGCGAGATTGTGATCCCATGCATATACGATGGCGCATTAAATGGCCTTTGGCCATAATATATATATGGCACATTATGCGACGCGCTGATGGCGTTGCCCAGAATGTAGTTGTGGCTGCTGTTGCTGCTGTTGCCGTTGTTGTTGTTGCTGTTGGGCGGCACTTGACACAAAACAATAACAACAGCGACCGACCAACATACACACAGACACATATAGAAAACTTTTCGACATAAAACAATAAAAGTTTCTCGCTTATTGCCCACTTGTCCTTGAGTGGTTTTGCATGAAGTCGCCAGGTCGCCCTCGTGGCTGTTAATGTTTATAGAGAGCTCGTGGATGGCCGTGATGATTCTGAAATTGATGTTGATGCTCGTGCTGCTGCATGCCGCGCACGGACACGCCACATTTCGTCAATAAAATGTATATATATACGTATATATAGTAAAGTTTATATATATATATAGCATACTTTGCAGCGTCCATCAGGCGACGCTCCACATCGCTTGGCACATTTATTGATTTTCCATCAGCGCGCGCCAAAGTGTTTAACTATGTGTTAATATTTATTAAAAAAAAAAAAAAAAAAGGAAGATAACATCAAATAAAATACGCCCGTAAAGACGCGTTACGTAAGCCTCTTTAAATTATGAGCCTGTCAGTGAATAGAAACATGTTGTTAACAGATTGTAATGTAAGCGATTGCCACGATTGCCTTTGCCACGCATTCATTATGCCTTCACGGGGCGTATGATTAATCTCGTTGCATGATTTTATCGTCAATGCCAGATCTATGGCTCGCCCACAGCTGTGCGGCTTTTGTTCGCCTGTCCGGCTGTGAAAAATGATTTGCTTTTGTTTGCTTAGCATTTACCTCTAGAGCTGGTAAACTCTTTCCCACACACATACAAGCACACATAATTTATGACCCGGTTGTAGTAGCCCCTTGCCATTAAAACAAGTTAATTAACAGTTGACATAATATTCTTTAGTTAATGTTTTTCTTGTTGTTTTTTTTTTTTTTCGTTTTCTTTTCTGTTATGTTTTATAGCTTTTTATTTATCGTTTACTCTTCTGCACTTTTACATGTTTTTGTTTGCCTTTTAAATTCTTACATTCGTAAAAGATTCAGTTTGCTTTTCGGTTTTTTTTTTCGTATTTAATTGAAAGTTACTTTCAAATTCTGTTTAGCTTTAATAACATCATGAATTCAATTTTCTTTTTTTTTTCGGGTTCCTCTGAAATAAATATAAACTATATGTATACATATATATATATATATATAGCTTCTGCATTTGATGTCATAATATTTATTATAGATACACATTTACATATACAATATTTACGTCAGTTGTCTGCAGTTGCCCTCTGAATTAGCTTAGATCTTAAGAGTTTTTGTTTCTTTTTTTGTCACTTTGTGTAGCCGTACTTAAAGCTACGCTTAATGTAAGTGGTGAAAATGTCAGTGAAAATACTTTGGAATGGTTAAAGATTTTGGGAACTTTTTATTGTAAACTATTTGAAAAAAAAAAAATAAATAAATAAATAAACTCTCGTGGCATTATTAATTTAAAATAATATGCATTTTCCTTTGATGCAAGAATTTTCATTTGACAACCTTTGCCGTAAACGGCCACAGCAAAAACAAAGTTCTATCGAATTTAAATTTTTATGCCTGTTATTGCTCACTGAAAATAAACAAAAATACGAATTAAAAAAAAAAATGTTGTATGCAACGTAACTGTTGAATACATCAATAGCTGAGTTTATTTTGTGTTTGTTTTTGTATTTCTTCTTCTATCTGTTGGCTTTGTTGTACTGGTTGTTGTTGTTGTTGTAGTTTTAGTTGTATTTGTAGTTGTTGAAATGCTAATGAAAAAGTTGTGAGCAGCTTTTGCAGTTGGGGTTCAATAGTTGTTGCCGTGAAGCATACTTAATGAAACTTGTTTTTTTTTTTTTTTTTATTTAGTTTTTCGTTTTTTGTGAATTTGTTCATTTTTTATTTCGTTCTTTTTCTCGTATTTATTTCTATCGATAGCATTATAAACTTTTTCAATGCTTATTATTTTCATTATTTTTGTTTTATTGCATATACGTTTATATAAACACTGAATTAAATTGGTTTTCCCAGTTTTTCCGTGTATTTTGCTCTTCTTTTTTTTCGTAATTGGAAATACTGTTGCAAACATTTGTATGGTTATTTAACTATGTACTTACTATGACAAAGGTGGCTTGCAAAACTAATAAAGTATGTAATTATGGATAGCTGGGAAAAAATAACGGAGAGGAAAGAACAGGGCATACAAAGTTTTTTTTTTTACATTTTAAATAAGTAAAGCTTAAATTGAATTGACAGTTTTGACAATATATTAAATGGGGCATACATTTTTTACTCTCAAGCATCATAATAAAAATAATAATTGTAATCAACATAAAAATAGTTTGATTCAAATTACATTTGAATTGAGCATGAGTCGAATTGAAAATTTTACAGAAATGCGAAATAAATTCACCTTAAATTACTTTAACCAAATTAGTCATTACAGCTGAAATAGCAAAAATGAACTCTACTAAAATCCGATCTCTTTTATTTACGTCACCCTGAAGGAACTCTTTATCGGAGTCTATCTCAGATAAAAAAAAAGGTTTTACGAGGTAAAATTAAGGACAAATAAATAAATCCACAGCGTATCTTAAATTAATTCAATGCCCTGATTTAAAGTTGATTGTATTCAAAATATATATACTATATGCATTTATACTCTTTAAGGAAATGTACAGAAATCTGCTGAAAGTCTTTTGAAATGTTTGTTCGGTAAACCACTTTGTTTTTAAACTTTAAAACCTGAAATGAAACTGAAACTTGCTTTTGCATACTTTTGCATACTTTTGCACATTGATTTAATAAGTTTTCTCAATTTTCATTATCATTTCTTAATTTATGCATAATTTTTGACATATTAATTTTATATATATATATATAAATATTTTTATTCTCTTCAATTAACAACATATAAATTTTTGCTATGTGCAACATGATTTCGTTCAAATATAATCTACCCTCAGTCCTTCAGCGTCGTCTCGCAACCCAATCGCACAATAATCAAGCTTAACTTTAATTCATTTATGCAATTTGTACACACAAAATAAATTTCATAAATCGAAAATAATACATATATATTATATATTAATATTTAATATCTGTGAATTGATGTTTTTTTGATGCTCGGAAAAACTTTGGTTTTACGCGTCTGCCTCTAAGAGCTAGAGAAATGTTTAGCTTAAATTTTACTTTTGCTGCATTCGTAGTGAAGTCATTTTTACAGTGTTTTTTATACTTTATATTATATTAATTTATGCGCATGTATGTTTTTTATTTTATATATATATATAAGTTGTTTTTTATATGCTTTAGTCAGTACTTGAAATTTGCTGCGCAGTTGAAGTTTAATATTTAGAAATTTGTTGTCTTTTAAGTTTCGTTTTGTCCGACATCTAAGCTGATGCCCATTCGAATTGTTGTCCTGGGAATAGTCTCAGAGTGTGGCATTTGGAAAAGCGCTAAATACTTATCTCAACATTTAGCTTAAGTTTCATTGTTTTTCTGAAAATGTTTTGCAGCTTTGAGCAGTGTTCTTTACGAGAAAAAAGTCTCTACGGAAAGTTTTAGCAAATTGATTTACATATTTTCACGTTTCGTTTTTGTATCAAAAAGTTTAATGTAGTTATTTACTTTTTCGGGGAGACTCCTTGAAGGATAACTCGAACTCAAATTTAAACTTGCCAATACGAAACTCAAAATCCAAATAACAGAACCGATTTAACATATTATACAAAGTTGTACTTGAAAAGGCGACAACTTGGCTCTGTAATTCGCTTTAAATTTCTGATTAATTTTTCTTCTTCTCTTCTTGTGTGTGTGTGTGTGTGTGTGTGTGTCTAATTATTACGTATACGTCACGGATTCATAGAAAAACAGAATAGCCAATAGATTTTACACATTAGTTACTATCATATAGTTGCTGCTTATGTATGTAGTCGTGTTTGTATGGGTGTGTACTTTAGATAGTTAAGCTAAAATGTAAGATGTGTCTGTGTGTGTGTGTGTTTATTTTATATTAGTCTAGAGTCTAGAAATGTTTTTTTTTTTTTTTATTTATTTTATTTTTTATTTTTTTTATTTTAATTTTTTTTTTTTTTTTTTAATTTTGAGGTGCTGCTCACCTTATGTCCGCCTCATATATCTGCCTAAACGTTGCTGTTCCAGCTACAGTGGCTGCTGCGCTCGCTGATTGTTGTTGCTGGCGGTGGTGTGGGCCACGCCCCCGCCAGTGCCAACGCCATGTGATGCTCAGCAGCGTGGACAGCAGTCTTAAAAGACATTCGAGTATGTTTCCAATTCCACATACCGACAAAGTCGCTTTGACTGCAGCACTCCAACTGCCACGCCTCTGTCCCCAGTCGGCGCCTCTGCCTGTGCCCCCCCTGGTGGTACATCGTCGCTGCAGCGTCGTCGCCGCTGCCGCTGCCGCTGCGGCACCACTGAGGGCCGCATAGAGCGCCCGGCAAATGCCAAACTGCAGCAGCACACAAACAGGTACACTAAGAGATAGCGACTTGGTGACATGGGAGGATGCGCTGGTGCCGCGTGCTGCATTGCTGCTGGGAACTCCCCTGGAAACAGAATGAGAAACACCTGTTTAATTTACATCTTTATTGCTGCTCTTATACTCAGTGATTGGATGAAACAAAAAAATATTAAATATATGTATACAGTTCTATATATGTAATAATTGAGCAACAGCTCTTTAGGTTTTCAGATAGTGTCTATATTATCTGCATTAGCTAGTAATGTTAATATTAGATTATATGTAGTCTCTTGAGTGGAATTAGTAAGAAATTATATGTATCCATATCAAAAACCCAGCTTTATTCTGCACAGATTTCACTTGACCAAGGAAACTAGAAACCAAAGAAATCCATGAAACTAAAGCATTATTTTAAAATCAAGAGAAAACAAGAGAAAAAAAAAAACAAAACGCAAGGTAATAAATGTAAATGAGTTCTAGATTTTTTCATCTAACTAAATGAATAAAGCTGATGATAGTTCTGGGAATCATTCGTATTTTATTGATCATAAGTAAAAAGTTTTTATATTTATTTCGTTTACAGTTATATACTTAAATAGCCGTGAGAGCGCAGGCAAGCGACAAAATCCTTGCCATATGCTGCTGATATTAATGCGACAAATCCTGGTGCCTGGGAGAGGCTAACAATAAACAATAAAAGCCAAGCAATGCAAAAAAGTGAAGCAAAACAAATGGAAATGAAAGAAACGAAAAGCAAACAAGCCACTGTCGTTGAGAGTCATACGCAAAGAGTGTCTGCGTATCTGTGTGTGTGTGTGTGTGTGAGAGAGGATGAGCATAGCGGTATGGAGTGAAAACAAAAGCAGAACTACTACTACAATAACGACAACAACAACAGCAGCAAAGCAAACAAAATACAATGTGAACGGGCGGCATATAATCATAAAAATAACAACAAAACAAAATGTAACGGCAACAGCAGCGACAGCAACAACAATGCGAAATAGCAGAACAAGAGACAAAACATAATAATAATCAGAAACAAGTGTGCCAAAGCAGTTAACGGAAACAACGCGCATTGCATGCACAATATGGCAACAGAGATGGGTACACCTAGTTCTACATATATATACATTTATATATGTGTGTGTGTGTGTGTGCGTGTATGTGTGCTGACTGACTGTGGCGATGGCAACGCCGCGGCATTATCTAGCAGACACCGTTGCGACAACAACGACGACAACTTGACATTAGTGAAAGTCGCAAAGGAAGTGGCATGCAGCATAAAGTCAAGCATGGCGAAGGCTGCGGGTTGCGTGTGCCACAGAGAGACCAAGCGCAACATAAACATAATATTCATGTGCCACACGCGCGCCCTCTCGCTCTTTCTCTCTCTCTCTCTCATTCATTCGCTGCATGGCCATTCACATGCGGAGAAATGTCGCAGCGTTAACTAAAACGAAAAACAAAAGAAAAAAGAAAAAAAAAACTCTGCTAGCACAGCAGCAGCAGGACAACGAAAGGCAGAGCAAGAGAGAGAGAGATAGAGAGAGAGAGAGAGAGCGAGAGAGCACTGAGGAGCTGAACGGAGTTGCTAAGTGCTGTAAGTTCTGTTAGACTTTTAGCAGAGCGCCACAATAATTACAACTGCGTGTACGAAGGATGGGGAGGATGGGTGGAAAGAGGGCCGACGAAAGAGTTGAGCACTTTGACTTTAAATGCTCTTCAGTTAGTTTCATTTTAATTTGCATCTCGCACATTTACAGTTAACACAGCGTATATTGAATATTGAGAGTATTGCGCCAGCCACGCCCATTGAAGCAAGACGACTGCCAATTAGCATATTACAACACCCTTAGCTGTCACGACTGCTCGCTTCAGCTGTCCAATCAATATTTGCTCATTGAAGTGCGTGAAATTCACTTGTTGAGGGCTTCCGTCCAACCAATTACTATAGAGAGCTAGAGAGTCAAATGTTTATATGCGGATCTATGCAAATGTATGCAGCAGGTGGAAGCGGGTGTACATAATGGATTACATATATACTATATGCATATGGGCATGTATATATATTAATTTATTATTATAATTTACATCTGTATGCTATATTTTGAGAGTGTTGCCATATGAAACTTATATATTCTGGATTTTTCCACATCTACCATTGCCTTTTTTAATATCGATAAAAATCGATCAATATTTCTTCAGTTTGGCTGCAGACTATTTTGAGTGTAAACTTCTCTGTAATTCACTGAATCTTAAAAAATAAAAACAAATAAAATCAATTCACTACTTCAAGGTATTTCTTAGAGTATTTCACACATTCCAGGATATTATCGATAAAAATCTATCAATATTTCTTGAGCTTGGACTTGAAAACTTTGTAACATAGTGATGGCACAGTCCAAGACTATTTTGAGTGTCAAAGTCTCTGTAATTCACCAAAACTCTTAAAAAAAAAAAAAAACAAAATCAATTCACTTCTTAAAGGAATTTCTTAGAGTATTTCATACATTCCCGCTCTACTCATTCCTTTGGCTTTGTGGTTCTTCCCACACACCACACAGCCAAATTACTTAGAGCATGCTCCAATGGCTCCGCCCCTCTTTTTGTACTCGACACCTTTTGGACTGGTTTATTTAGTGTCACTGCGTTCTGTTGTTAGCTGTCGTTACATTTCTATGGCTTTGCGCTCTACGCTTCTCAATCAAACCGAGTCACTACTACTACTACATTTTCGCTGTAATCGAAGTCGATTTTCCTGAGTGCAAAGTCATCTACTTAACTTGTGCACTTCATTAATTATACGTTCTACATCTTTTGCCATTAACATTTAACAATAGAAAAATGCTTCATTTGCGAGCTCTTAAGACTAACTTTCACATAATTCCACTTGGTAATTTCTGTTTTTTTTTTTTTTTTCGCTTTATTCAGAAACCGGCGCTCAAGTCAAGATTTCAAGCATTTCATTTCTACTCTTACACTCGAGTGCATTTCCCTCACAAATATTAACTGAAGTTTCCACAAATTCTTAGAGCTCTTTCACCAACTGAAAATCACTTGAAATGCCCAACAAAGTGTTCGCAATTCAAGCATTCAGATTTAATCCACAAAGCATTCATAAACCCGCATTCACCACAATGACGTACGTGGCGCTTCTTAATCTCCCCTCTCTCTTTCACTCTCTCTCTCTCTCTCTCTGTCTCTCGCACACTCTCTCTTTCGCTCTCCCTCTTTTGTCTTCATCATTAGCACACTTTACTTTTGCACTTTTCCACAAGTCTTTGTGCATTCCTCTTTTTTTTAGAACTGAACTGAACTGAACCGAACTGAACTGCGCTGAGCTGAGATGGGGACTACCCTCAATGCAGTCGTCGGTCAGTCAGTCTCTCTTGCCATTTATTCATCACACCAAACTTTTCGCTTTGGTCCATTGTGCTTTTCGTAGCCATCTTAACCATAAAACATTATTATCGGGGTAGTTAAGCTTTATCACAATGTTGGCTTAGCACTCTTGGCAGAGCATTTAATCTAATAAATTTAATCTAAATACATTTTAGTGCTCGCTACCAGCATAAATAAAATCAAATCGAGCTAAGCCCAATTTAACCAAGTCAATTAAATTTGAATTTAAATGCAAATTTTTAAGCTAAGTTTGAACAGAAAATCATTCTGGATTTTTAAATTTTAAAGACTTTTAAAGAAATTAAAAATTTTTTTAATTTAATCAAATTCATAAATCAGTAAAGAATATTTATTCGGAGGAATAAAAAGCTACAAAATTGATTTTTAAAAATAATACAATTTTATTTTAAAATTTAGAAAAAAATTATTTAAATGATAAAAAATGTTTTTAACAAATTTTAATAAATTAAGTATTAGTAGAATTATTGTATTCTAAATAAAAGGTATATGTAATACATATTTCTTAAAAATTTAAATTTAAATTTAAAATTTTGATTAATTAATTAATGATTAAATATAAATAATATATATAAAAAAAATAAAGAATTATGTATATTTAAGAATTATGTGTGAAATATTATTAAATAATAAAATAGTGATAATAGAGTAAAATAAATACGTATAACACAATGTAAATAAAATATGCATTATACAGCATATTTTATGTACAACAATTTTTTCCATATCTTCAAATACTAAAATAGATATAGTAAAATTGATATTGCCTGACAGTATTTCATGAGCCTGCTTTGCTGGAATTCAATTAGAATCAAGAGCGCAGAATGTGTGTTCAAAGAGTATTCAACTGTCGTGTTTGATTTTCGTTTATCTTTTTATTAGCATGCAGTCAGGTTCATTGTGGAATATTATCTTTTGTGTTGGCTTGCGGATTTTCGAGTTGGGTTGTCGTTGATTTTACTTACCATTCAGCACATGTACCGTTACGCTTTTGGGCTTTGCATTTGATGGATTACATTGATAATGCCCGGAGTCCGATGGACGCGCTGATTTAATCAGTAGAAACGATGTCGTCGTCTCACCTTTGTTGGTTACGACTGAGACGCCGCCTCGGGGCGAGTCATAGTTGATTATCTGCAAAGAGAGAATCCGAGAGTATCACAGACAACTGGCAGTACTTGAGGGTTTTATGTGCGCACATTAAAAAGAGAAAGATATAGACAATAAAATAAAAGCCAGAGCGAGAGAGGGAGCGATACAAAGAGTGAGTGCTAAGCACGAAAAACAATCACAATTTGTATGCGAATAACATTTACAATGCCGTATGGACAACGTTGAATCAAATTAGATTTTATGCGACATTCATTTTCTATGCCATAAAGCTGTTTGTGCCCACATTACGCATACGCACTGTTGCGCTACTGTTAGAAAATTAAAATTATTGGCAAAGAAAGAGAAGACATATATGAAAGAAAAGACTGTGAATAAAGGCAAAACAATAAAATTAAATCTCCTCGTGGCAAAAGTGCTACTAATGGCTGCTCACTCTGAGCCCTTCTCTCCGTCTCCGTCTCCCACTCTCTCTCTCTCTCTCTCTTAGTATAGTGCTACTGTTACTAGTATTCTTAAACTCCAACTCAACCCTTCTTAAAAGCCTGCTATGCTCTATAGAAAATACATAACAATAGAAAGGCTGTGTTGTGCACAGCAGGAACCCTTACGAATTCCCCATACAATAAGCTAAAACATGGCCGTGACTAAAGTCCCAAAGCATGAAGAAAAACACCTAAAATGGAAAACTAAAACGTGGCTTTAACAGCCGCTGGGATGCCACTGACAACAGTATCGAAAGAGAAGAAGCAACAGCAACAGCAGCGGAGGAGGCAGCGGAAGAGGCAGCCAAACCAAAATCCATTTAAAACCCTTGCCTCAACGGGTTTTTTACTTATTTTGTTTTTTTTTTTTTTTTTTTTTTTTTTTGGGTCCCTTGCTTTGCATAGTGCTTAAATGGCATTTTCTTGCAGTCAACAAAATAGAAACACACAAAATAAGAAGGGGTGCAAAACAAAAAAAGAAATGACAAAAAAAAAAAGAGAGCAGAAGAGAAAAGTTAAACAGTTTTTGCCACTGCAAAGCTAATTTAAAAGTTACTAAAATGAGGCGATGCTCCAGATCCCTCATCATTTATAAGCAGCGCAATAATATGATACCCCAAAGTAATTGGCTGACGAAATTGACAAAAAGAGACCAAGTGAACCCTAATATAAATGAGAGCATCTTACACTTACAGCGTTGTTGTGATTCCAAAAGATATAGGCCGGCGGCTCAGGTGAGTTGAGTATGACACAGGTGAGATTTATAGTCGAGCCGCTCTCTATATACAAATCGGGTGCGCCAATAATTTCCGTCGAGGGCTCTGCAAGAGAACAAGAAAACAAAGGGAAAAAGTTAAAAACTTTCGCTTAATGTTTCACATCATGAACCGATATCTAACCCCACCCACAACACTTAAATGCCCATCAGCCTGAGCTCAAATGCTTTCAACGAAATGGGCGTCTATTTCTAGGGCTCTTTCGGTAGGTGCGCTAAGCTTGAATAAAAGGGCAATTAGGTAAATACAAAATTCTAGCTCGCCTGAGCATCCTCATTAGAAATAAAAGTGTAATTTAAATGCGCAAAAATTTCTAAAGATTTCCATTGAAAATTTCCATGAAAGTGAAGTGCGTGCGCCCACCTCTGCTGCCTTTTACACCTTTGCACCTGCTCGACTATAGCAACAAGTTTTAAAGGTCTAAATAACTTTAGACTTTTTTTTGCGATTGGTACTTATTTGTATGTAACATCATGATTGAAATATAAGACCAGGAAATTGTTTTTCACAAAACTTCTAAAAGTAAAAAAAAAAAAGGTTTCGTGGCAACCGAATACTAATTTGGCTTTGTGTAAACAGGAAGCCTCAGTTGACCCTAAATGTTTGCATACTTTTAGTATTATACGAAACTAAAAGCTCATTAAGTGAATTGCTACAAGTCAAACACTCGAATTCAAAGAACCGTTAGCTTTATGTACAGCTAATGGCATTATTTTGTATACAGAAACTTTTAAGTGCAACATAATTATCAGCAGAGTAGTATATATATTACTTCAAATAATTTCGGAAAATCATTATTGAACACTTTTCCATTGATAGTTCGCTTTGTTTATTTTCGCAGAGATATCATCCTTTCGGTTTCAAATACCTTCATGAATCCTTTAAGCCACTGTTAACAAATTGTTAATATATTTTGTTAATATATATTTAGGATTTGTTATAAATACATAAAATTATAAATTATTTATTTTATATTATATATATTATTTTTATTATTATCAGCTGCGAGGTTGCGGAAAATTGTCCACAATTTAGAGCAATGATTAAATATTAAGATGTTGGCCTTTTTGACCCAAATGCCCTTTCGGAAGTACCCACATAGGATAAGAAAGAGAAATTAATCCAGCGGCATTTACTGCGATGCAGAGCAACTGCGAAGAGTCGAGGTGCTGAAGCAGCAGTCGAGAATTTGGTTTTTATTTTCTTCTTTGAAGGAGAAGGTGATGAAAAGAAAGTAGAAGTCGCTGCTGATGTTTCTGTTGAGGCGTCACATAATCGTATTGTCACCATGCCATGGATCTGCGACATCGCCACAAAGCCAACATGACTGAACAAAGGGGAACTGGATACATGTGCACGGATGTAGCACACACACAAGAGCTCTAGCTTGAATGTTTATACGGAATGACGCTCACATGCAAAGTTTTATGGGAAGGCACTACAAGAGAGATGCAGTCTGGTGCCATACTAGTCGATCTGGAATACAACCAGGGTAACGATACATTGTGAATTACCACTACTTCTATTTTACGTAGTTAATTTTTTTTTTTTTTTTTTTAACGAATTTTTATATAATTTATTGTTATTTTTATTACCATGATATCAGTATAGAGAGACGAACGACTCGAAACTTACCAACAACTGTCAGGTGGATGTAGTGGCTCATGTGCGGAGTTGTCGAGACTTGGCACTCATAGATGCCGGAATCGCGATGCTGGGGATACTTGATTTGTAGCATCCAGTCCTCGGTCTGCGGCTGGTGTATGGCTCGAAAGCGCTGATCCGATGTATACGTGTAGCGTCCGACTGTGAGCAAATGTATGTCCCGATGTCGCACCCACGACACTTGCAAAAGCATCTGAAATCAGATCGAATCAAAAGTTTAGCCACACGAAAAGATTTCATTTGTCAAAGCCAGAGCATTTGCATGTTTAGTTTAATTTATTGGGCAAACAGTTTAAAAAGTCTATTTCACGCACAATCTTTGGCATCGGCGTGTGGGTGGGGCTGTGGCAGGGGCGGATGCGGATGCGGAGGCGAGGTTGCCCTGCGGCTGGGGCATGGCAAATGCAAATTTATTTTGAAATGTTTTTATGCGTTGCTTGCCGCCTGCCAAAGAAAAGTAAAAACTTTAACGCAAGGGCAACACATGTGTCAGCATAGCGTACGACCCTTGCCGAAGGGTGCGTTCTGGGTCTGGCCACCACGACAGGGCCTACCCTTGTCAGTGGGGCTGTGGCGCTGGCAACAATGGCAACTGCTTCAAGTCAAATTGAAGGCAGCACATGCAATGTGTGTGTGGGTGTGTGTGTGTGGGGGTGTGTGTGTGGCACGCCCATGCTAATGCACACCTGTTTGGCAACCACCTGCTGTTAACGTGTCTTAGCTCAACATTTTTAAGTGACTGTGATTTAGGGCTGTACTCATCGCACACCCACGTCCACAGCTTCGGCCCCCACCTAGATCAACACAACACCCCCCCGCGCCGCCCACTGTGTATCGCGTGTCAGACGTCAGCTGCTTGCATTTTCATTTTCAATTTCAATGACAACAGCTTAACAGCATGCCGCCTGACGACACGAGCGACGGCAAAGTTAATGGACAAGAAACCCGACGACGGACAGCCGCTGTCACTGCTGCTGCTGCTTCTGCTGCTGCTGTTGCCAGCAGCGACGACAGATTGTGCAGGTGCCATAGCAAGGCAGCACAGGCAATGTTAGTCTAAAGTTTGGCACTCAGCTCAAAAGAAAGTTGCATGTAATTAACAGCAAATGCTGAAACACTCATACACAAACACACACACACAGACACACCGTGCTGTGCTGTGCCGTGCCGTGCCGTACCGTGCCGTGCTGTGGTGTTAAGCCAATCCAAGCCGAGTTTAGGCTGCCAGCAACCGCAAACATTTCATTTAGCTCCATTCAGTATTCAGCCAGGATCAACACCCAGCGTTTGCCAAGTTTATGCGCGTTATGCGTGTTTACAGTATCGTAAAATTTGTATATCGATTGCAAGGCAGCCGGAGTTTATACTCTTTCTGGCTGCTGGCCAAACAGAATCAGCGGCAAAATGTTTGCCGTTTTATGGCTCAATTTGCAGAGCGCACGAAAGTATGCTTTAAAATTTGTTAGCCGCATGTTATTGCATACCCTGTACGCAGCTGAGCCAAATGCGGCATGCCCATCAAATAAATATTCTAGTTTAGCAATTGAACAATGTTTATTATTAGTTCGTTAATATATTTAATTCCATTTATGAAAAGTCTCCAAAATATGCCTCCACATTACAGGGTATTCTGTAAGTCGCACACACACCCAAATGAATCTACTATTATTACGCAGCTAAACTTTTTCTGCAGACCTTACTTTAGCTTTGAATTATTTAGAAGCGTTTTGTTTTTCATTGGGGCGCCCGCAAACGTGCCACGCCCCTTAAAACTCATTACCGCTCGCATGCTGTTATCGGCAGCAACGGCAGCCGTAAAATGTCGACTCCGACTGTGACTCTAATGAAAAGCGTCATTAATAATGTGAAAAACATAAACATCCGCTGCCTGTTTATCATTACATAGCGCGCGCACATAAAACAGAAGGTGGCTAACACCTTAGACTTTTTCCAGCTGCTTCCTCTTCTTCTTCCAGGTTTTTTCTTACATTCTGTCGGCTGGCTTAAGTTTTTCGTCAGATCCGGTGAAATCAGAGCGCCAATGATGTATTACTTTATGGCAATGAGGATGAGCGAAATGGAAATTAAGCTTCAAAGTTAACTTTTGGGGTTGAGCTTCGGCTTGCGGTTAGTGGGTGTGGCATGCCACAAGGTAAAAGCTAATTAGACTTTAAGCTGACAGCCCAAACAAATGAAATTGTATTCACGCTCCGAGAGTCTTTGGTGATTGTGTAAAAATTAGACATACGAACGAATATCGAATTGATTTGAGACAAATGATTTTTAGTGATGGCACGATTGATTATATGATACAAAATAATCGATTACTTTGCGATGGGGCTGCGATTAATTGAAGTCACAGTCGATTATTCATATAACAATACTTCGCCTTAAAATTTTACCTGTATATCTGTATATTATATTAATCTATGAATAATTCAGCATTGAGCATACGTCAATCTAACGTATACTTAATTCGGACAATATTCAGTATACGCAAATCAAAATAAGAAATGCAAATAATTATTTTCATACATCATATATGTTTAAAATTATGATTTCATAATTGAGTTTAGCATGCAAAAGAAAAGTTATTCCAATCGATTGAGCGGGAATTGCATTGCGCGAATTTAATTAAGCGTCGATGGCATAAAAATCTAGTTAATTAACTCAGCGACTGTCTGCCGATGATCGATGAAGTTATCCAACTAATTGGCATCTAATGAAGTTGCCAACAACTAAATCTTCTTGTGTGCTGACAGCCTATCTAACGACCGGTCCTAAAAACTTTTCACTCAACCCAGCCAACGTGGCCGGAACGAGCGCTCAGCCACAGATACTCGAATTTAATAATCACGCAAATTAGTTTTCGAAACCGCAGAGCCAACGAGCCAGAGCCATGCGCTAGTGCAGGTGAGACCCGGGCCCAGACATGTAACATATTATTATCGAAAAATAAGTCCGGACCAATGACGACGCTGTCGGCCGCCCCACAGGAAGCGGCGGAAACCGAATGACTACGGCGCAGGTTGCAAAACTAAAACCCAAAAAAAATAATAGAGCACTAAACCTGAAAGCAAACAAGTAAGAGTGAAGACGGAACAATTAGCCAAAGCCGCCATGTGGGCGCAGTTTACGTGCTAATTAGCTGAAAAACATGAAATATAACACACACACACACACACACAGACACACACAGACACACACAGACACATACAATACAAATCGCATTTTGATGGCAACTAATGGCATTACAATTGTAAAAGCTTTTGGCTTTAGTCAATTTGCGTTCCACTTACCGTTTTATTGCCCAGATTCTTGACGCGACAATTCAAGTAGGCCGTCTTGCCCAGCAGCGCGGTGACATTCTTGGAGGCAGCCTTGTCGAAGTAGGGCCCATTGCTGCGCGAATCCTCGCCCAGATCGATGCTGTTCCGGTTGATGCTGGCCGCGGCAGCCAGCGATGCAATCGAGTTGCCCCGATGAAAACTACTGCTGGCAATGCCACTGATTGCTGTTGTTGTTGTCGTTACATTGGAGTTGGTGTTGGCATTCGAGTTAGACTTGGAATTGGAGTTGGAGTTGGCGTTGGCGTTGGAGCTGTATTTGGAGCCGCTGTCGGTAGTCGTTGATTGGCCAGGGCCCGGCGCATTTTTGTTACTTCCGCCGCTGCTGGTCGCGCTGGCCAGGCTTCCGCTTCCGCCAACACCATTGCCATTGCCATTGCCATTGCCATTGCCAGCAACGGCAGCTGGAGCGTCGCCATCGCTCGGTATGGCATTATTGCTGCTGCCCACATCCTTCGACTTGTACGAGTCACGCTGCGCCGCCAGCACTGCAAAGAAGAAGCGATCAACGAACAATGTTATCAGTGCATCCAGCTGCAGATTCAATCAAAACCAAATCAAAATGCAACAGCACTCGCTAAAAATAAATATAATAATAAATAAAAACGATGTCAACTCGTGCTCATTGCCGCACAATTGTCTTCGAATTTCATTTTCGAAACATATTCGTGTGTGACATGTGTTTAGGAAATCGTTAATTTGTTATTGCATCCGTTTCAAATTTCATGATGCTCTATCTGACATTTCCGCAGCAATTGTGAAACATGTGCGAGCCGAGCTTCATTGTGCGCCTGAGAAAATAATAAATCATAAAGATGGCATTTGTGACTCGAGTGAGTTGAGCTGATAATAGATACGAATATATGCATAGATCTCTGACCTATTCATATATTTTTTTATTTACGTTATCTATATATCTATGGCATTATCTATAGGCTATGGTCATATATATAGTGGCTTTCATTGGATAGTTCAAGTCATTATAGAATGAGCATTAGCTTAAGAGATTCTTGATGAATCTGTTGATGATGCATTGATGCTAAGGCTAGGATTAAATATAAATAGGAATGCTCTAGTCGGAACTAAAGGTTTAAGAGAAAACCTGAAAACGGAAAGACTTGATATTCCAATAATTGTACATTTCCACATGCACACACACACACAAGCGCACTCTAATTACTCTGAAATTTATAGCTGCAGCATAGGCCATATGGACCACAGGCCATATGAATTTGCTAGGGGACAAGTTTCTAGCAATGCGTTTATGGCGAACCTAGGAGGCAGGCAGGACGGTGTGTATTTATTGGAAAAAAGAAGCTTAGAAATCTAATGCTTCCATATTATATCGTATTCAAGCTACACACCAAAACGAAGCCAAATCATCTATTTTCTGATAGTTAACAAGAAAATGGAAAAGCGCGTTTCATTTTGAAAAGTCTATCTCACGCGAATAGGACTGTAATCATATCTAGGGTGGTCGAATTACACTTCTTCATAATCATATATTAAAATAAAACAAGTAAGAAGGCTCCAGTCGAGACTGCTCGACTAGGAGATACCCTGAACCCTCCAAGCTGATATTCTAATCACTCTGGACTTCTTTTATGCACACATACATACACATAAACTTATAAGCACGCGCTCTGCTAACTGCGCAGTAAGCAACGGCTGCGCTTGGGCTGCGCTGCAATGTGGGCAATATTATGAGAATTTATTAGTTGAATAATTTCTCTTGTAGTAAGAGTATCTTTATGAAACTTTCAGAATGTGTTCATATAGTTAAAATGTGTGTACATTCCAAAGCACAAGTCTCTAGTACTTGAAATGCGTTTTTAACAAATTGGGGGCGAAGGGGGCGTGGTATCCAAAATCTGTAAATTACAAAATCTTTGTATCCAATTACTTTATATACAACGTAAATTTAAAGTCTCCAGGGCTAAAAGTGTTAAAATTAGGCTGAAAAGACCAAGTCGATTTTTCGATTATTCTCGATAAAAAAGTTATCGGATGAGTTATCGAAAAAATAAAGCAAACTTGTACTGCCTATGGTATACACGAGTATGCATGCCAAATTTCAGCTCTCTAGCTCTTATATCTTCTGAGATCCTTTTGCTCATACGGACGGACGGACAGACGGACAGGGCTATATCGACTCAGCTTGTCGTCCTGATCAAGAATATATATACTTTATGGAGTCTGCGATGATTCCTTCTGCCTGTTACATACTTTTCACAAAACCATTATACCCTGATTTCCCATTTTCAATGGGTTCAGGGTATAATTAAGTAACATTTTATATACATATCTTTTATTAGTTATTTGGTTATAGTTCAACTTGAAAAATGCCAATAATATATAGAAATTATCAAGAAAAATATACTCGGTGGGGTCCACGCCACCTTCTGCTGTTAAATACATTTAAACAAAACCAATAAATTCTTATTTGTATATGTATATTTATACAAAAACTTAAATGTTTTCAATGAACTCATTTCTATCAATTTAAAATATACATATATACAATATAAATACACATATTTATATATAAACAACCAAAGCAAAAGTTAAGGAAATTAAAAGTTCCAATAAAATAATAAAATAAAGTATTTCAAAAATATAAAATATAATCAAAATGCTTTTAATCGAATTAATAAACTCCAATTGAAAATATTTATGCAAATAAACAAAGCAAAAGTTAAATAGATTACAAACTTAATTAAGTCAATTAGTGCAAATATTCAAGTGATGTCATAAATTCTACATTCCACAATGGCCAATCAATAAATAGATTGTAAAATTTCTAAGCAGCCAGCAAATAATTCAAGTTGTTAGCCATTACGAGCGAGTTGACGGCTTTACAATTTGCTGGCAGTTGGCTTAAATTGTTTGCGAATGTCTGTCCCCTGCAATGGTATATAATTTGATTGGTAACAGCGTATGCAATATCGTTACCATAATTGTTCAATTAACTCACTTTTAGCCATAACAGCCTCAAATGGAGTCTCCACTCAGCTCGACTTTTTAGCCGGGTCCGAAGAACACATGCTCTACTTTCGTGTTCAGGAGCAAGCTCAGCGCTTTTTTTTACTTTTCATCGATATCACACATACACAACACACACACAAACACACATTGGCTTATATAAACTACCTTGCAACCATTTAGGTAATTAGCAAATTACGCACACCCACACACACACACGCACACACATACACATGTGCGTTTACTGCGACTTTGTTATGCGCATATCGCATATGGCACATAAAGTTTCGTCGTCTGCTTTTTGTTTTGTTTTTAGTTTTTACGTTTATCAAATTTTCATGTTTTTTGCCACAACTACACACACACACACACACACACACAAAACGCACACGAGTAGAGTGAAACCCTGTTGGTAAGTTGCTATTGTCGCAGTTACGACCAATTTTTATCCACCGCCATTTATCCCATCACTTAGCAGCGAGCAGCAAGGACGACGCCGATATGTCTGCCAGAGACACACACATATACACATATGCTACTGTATGTGTGTTTGTTTGTTTTGCTTGCTTTAAGTGCATGTGTGTGTGTGTGTGCCTGGCACTTGATACGCTTATTACAGGCAGGCAACGTCTTTTTATGGCGCTGGGCGAGCGGCGCTGGCGACCATTTTATAGTTGCCAGCCAGCGACTTTATTAGATTAAACATGTTGTGCACGTTAGACCAAGACTGTCAGCCACACACACACACACACACACACACACACACACACAGACACACAACTTATCTAGCTCGTTTGCTGTTGTTAGCCAGCCCGCCCCTGGTCATGTTTTTGTCCAGATAAGTCGCATATCCTAGCTGCGGAACGTGGCACTAGTTGTATTGACAGCCGCAGCTCGACAGACCGAA